TCTACATGCACCTTGTGCATTGAGAACCAGTTCTTGCATAGACTCTCAGGTTCCAGCAATAAGAGGTACTGAGGTTGTCAAAACTGCACCAACTGACCCCTCTCAAGCCTTGGGCCCCTTTACAAAGTGAGGTGGTGACCACTTCCTGTTGCCACTGAGGTGCAGGGCATTCTGTATGCTGCATTCCTTCAACCTCTGCTTGGGGACCAGGGATTCCTGAGGTCTCCAGTTTGAGGCAATGTGGCTAACTTAGTTTCTTATTTTCAGTGGTATTTTGGTCCCAGTTATCCCACAGAATTTGCACCTTTCTCTTAGACCCAGAAATTACCGACTGGTTGTATTGCTCATTGTGTTCCACATTATTTTCTTCACTAAAAGATCTTTATCTTGTTTTTTAAGATAGAGGAGGCATGCCTCTGTGATTTTTGTGTTTAATATTTTTATATGTGACAGGTCTGAGTTTGCAAATAGAGCTAGGAAGGGACTTGTACATGTCTGAAACCACAGAGCAGTTTTGACTGCCATGGAGGAAGGATTCCTGAGGGAGGTCATATGAACTGAGCCTTGAGCTGGAGGTTCAGATGGAAGCACTGGAGAGGGCTATGAGCTCCAGTCTGGACAAAGAAACTCACAAGCTATGTGTTAGGAGGGTGAAGAGACTGATTTTAGTTGGTACACTCTGTGTGTGTGTGTGTGTGTGTGTGTGTGTGTGTGTGTGTGTGTGTGTGTGTGTGTGTGTGTTTGTGTCTGTACCTGAGCATGAGTCCGAGGAAGTTTAAAGTGAAAGGGAGACTAGAGAAAAGAGCCCAAAGATGTTGACTCACCTAAGGTCATTCAGCTCCGCCCCTTCTAGGCACCAAACTTTAATACAACTAAGAGGGAAAGGAGGAAGAAGAGAAGAAAGAGCCTCTGAGGTTAGGGAGGGGGATACAGAGGACAAGGAACAGGCAAAAGGGAGGAATGTGAAGAGGGACATGAAGAACGTGGGGAAAGGGTGCGGTACTTTTCTTGTCACTGAAACCAAATGCCTGACAGAAACAACTTAAGGAAGGAAGGATTTGTTTTGACTTAGGTTGAAAGGGACACAGCCCGTCATGGCAGGGAAGCATCACCACGGCAGGAAAGATGTCACCATGTCAGGGAAGTCATCATCATAGTAGAGAAGTCATCTTCATGGCAGGGAAGATGTCACCGAGGCAGGGAAGTCATCATAATAGTAGAGAAGTCATCTTTATGGCAGGGAAGATGTCACCATGGCAGGGAAGGTGTCATCATGGATAAGGAAAATGTCACCATGGGTGAAGACATCATGGCAGAGGAGGTGTCCCCATATCAGGAAAGTCACCATCACGGCAGGGAATGTGTCACCATGGGTAGGGAAGGCATCATCATGGCAGGGAAGGTGGGAAATTTTCCTTAGAGCAAATGTGTTCTGAACTGTGCAATGGCATTTATGACACTTGACTCTTGTGAATATGATGGATGCAAGCTCCATAAAATACAAAGTTGGCACATGTATTTTTAATGTCTTTTCAACAAATAAATTGCACTCCATTGAGGAACTAAACCATGGTTCTCCCAAACAGGGCCTTACTGCATATGTATAGCATCCTTTTCCTTTCTTATCAGAGATGCCCTTCTCTATCAAGGATCTTCTCACTGAGTGGTATTGAACTCTGACCTTTCATTAATTTTGCTTATTTCTAATTTCTAAAGTGACATCTAGTCAAGATTTGCTTTGGGAAACACATGCATAAGGAATTTCTTGCCCTGTTCTCCTATTGCAGAAAGCAGGGTTTCAGATGTGATGATCTTTCCTCTTCAAAGGCTGAAAGGCTGTGATTTTGATCTCTCCCTTTTTTTAAGATTTGAGGTATGTTAAGCGGGGGATCCCTAACAGAGCCAGTGAGTCATACATGTCTCAACACAGTTTCACTTATTGTTTCATCATTATTACAATGAAAAAGCAAAATTGGTGCAAATGTCAAAGGATAGGGAACTATTGAATCCTCACGTGTGCCAATGTGTGTATAAATCATTACTGATTTATTGAGGGGGTCAAGGATATTTAATAACAGGAGGACTGTCTCTTGTGGAATGTGGGATGAGACTACACACCAGGTCAAAGCTTGCTCAAAGTTGTAAACTTCATTTCTATTTCAGGGTCTCAGTGAATATTTATTGAGTAAATAGACGGATGAAAACATTAACTTAGGAAGATGAGAATTCAAAGCTATGTGTATATTTTAAATTAAACCATTGCTTCTCAAATAAAAAGACTGCAGAGATCCTGTCACTGTTACTACAAACAATATTACAGAAAGGATTTCCTCCTTGTGGCTTTATCCGTGCAAACATAATTAAAATGTGTTTGCTTCTGAGAGCTGAAATTTGTTTCCCAGGTGCTAATGCAGAGTCTTGAGAAATGAGTTGAGAGTAAAACAAAAAATACACAGCCACTCTTCTCCCTGATTGGTTTTCTCCATGATTCTGTGATGCTACGCCGTGTTTCTCCAAGATCTGTCCTTTGTTGCCATAGTGATGCACTCCCAATGTGAAATTTCAATTGTATCAAACTGGCTTTCTTTCAAGTTTCAATAACTTGCCATCACCACCCACTTCTCTTTCAAAGTGTTTAAATCCTCCAGTCACTGAGGCCCTTAACAGCACCATTTGGGGTGCTGATATGGGAGAAGCAGACTTAGATGGAAAGTGGGAGTGGGTAAAAGTCATAGAGAAAATAGGATTTGAGAATACGTTAACATCATAGAAAGTAAGTCTCAGCGGGGCAGTGATGGCGCATGCCTTTAATCCCAGCACTCAGGGATGCAGAGACCGGCAGATGATCTCTGTGAATTCAAGGTCAGAGTGGTCTACAGAGCAAGTTCCAGGACAGGCTCCAGAGCTACAGAGAAACCTCGTCTCAGAAAAAAAAAGAAAGTAAGTCTCTACCTTCTCCAAACAACAATCTATTCTTCCTAACAAATCATAGACTTCTACTTTACAAGTGACATAATGATGGGTAACTTGGGTCTTTATTTAAAATGAGAATAATATAAGAATGAAGGGGTATAGTCTGTATTAGACCTCAAAGAACATTCTTAATATAGAAAGAGTCTTTATAAAGCAATAAGACAAAAATGATAAACATTCGACTATCATTCGGATATGTCTACCAAGGGTTCATGTATTGAAATTTAGTGCCCCTGGTGAGGAATCAAACAGGTGGATAGTCAGCTGGAAACTTAATCCAACTCCATGGTTGCACTGGCTAGTTTTATGTCAACTTGATACAAGATACAGTCCTCTGAGAGGAAAGAACCTCAACTGAGAAAATACCTCCATAAGATCAAGCTGTTGGCAAACTTGTAGAACGTTTTCTTAATTCATGATTGACACAGGAGGACCCAGGCCATTGTGGGTGGTGCCACCCCTAGCCTCGTGGTCCTGGATTCTATTAGAAAGCAGATTGAGCAAGCCATGGGTAGCAAGCCAGTAAGCAGCACTCCTCCATGTCCTCTGCATCAGCTCCTGCCTCCAGGTTCCTGCTCTGTCTGAGTTCCTACCCTGACTTCCTTCAGTGATAGACTACAATGTAGAAGTATAAACCAAGTAAATCCTTTCCTCCCAACTTTCTTTTGATCCTGGTATTTCATCACTGCAATAGTAACCTTAACTAGGACAATGGTGTTTTCAGTAGGGTCTCTGGGAAGTAATTAGCTGAATAAAACTCATGTTTAGGTTTGTCAGTGTTATAAAACAGACTGACTCAGATTCCAGTTAAAAATGGGGAAAAATATAGATAGACAGTTTACAAACGTACGAGGGAAAATGGTCACTGTGATACCAGGAAAATCTGGTTCATAGCCTCATTAATGAAGACATCTCGTGTAGTACTCAAGCAGAAGTGGGACGGCAATTTTATTAGCATTTTAAAGAAAAACCCTCAGAGCAGGCAAGCTGCAAGCTTCAGCAGCTGTGCAGAGGAGAATGGAGGAGAGAAGGGAAAGCCATGCTGTTTGAGTTACTGGCATGGAGGTCTGCCACATGTCAGGTAGGGGAGCTTCAGAGAAAGATCAAGGAACTCAGAGTACCAGAAAATGCATGCGTAGGTTCTGCTCAGCATCTGAGACAGAAAAAAAAGGAAAAGAATACTTTGCTCTACTTGAAGGTGAGTGGATCCAGCCAAACCTCGTGGCTGATCAGGTTAGGGATTTAGGCACTAGGGGGAAGGAATTCTGGGAAGGAACAGTATAGTATCTCATTAAAGGAATGAATAGTCCACCCATCTGTTGAGCATGGCATAAGGTGAGCCTACCTTCCTAGGGGTGTCTTGCCTTCATGAGTGTTTCCTTGGCCAATGATTAACCTGCCCACCTGGAATGCTGGGTCTCCACCCAGACCAAAGATTCTCTTCTCTTGAGCAGGAGTTTTTCCTTAACTGACTTTCACTGTAATGAATACTATACATGTGGAACTAAGAGCCACCGCATCTGCATACAGAGATAAAACCTTTTGTGCATTAGAAATCAGAGAGGATGCTGAAGCCAACATGGCTGGAGTTGGGAAAAATGGCTGCTTTATAATGTTCAGTGAGAACATAAACTGGTGCCATTTTCCTGAATTGTTTTGAGATTTGATTTTCACAACTTTTAAATTATTGTATGTCTGCATGTGTCTGTGTGGGTATATGCAATGTGAGTACAGGTGCTCACGGAGGCTAGAGACTATCCAATTCCTTGGAGCTGGAGTTACAAGAAGTTGTGAAATGCCCATAGTGCTAGGTTTTCTGCAAGGCCAGTTTGTGCTTTTAGTCACTGAGCCATTTCTCCATCCTCCTGGGCAATTTTTGAGCCAGAATTTCCTCTTGCAGGGACTTACCTTAAAGGGCAAGTAATAGTGAGGACATATGTGGATGCAAAGGTGGTTCTGCAAAGATAGTCAGTTTGGTTCTGTTCTCACATAATAGAAGCAAATTCAATGTCCTTTACCAGGGAACAAGCCTTTAAATGACTAACCCATCTGAGAGAATGTGGAAAAGCCACTGAAAAAGACGATGGAAATCTGTGTTTTAACATGAATAGATTTTACATTGACATGGAAAAGCATGGATATAACCTGCGAGGGAACAAGCATGATGGTATGTAAGACTTCTGGAGATGCAGCAGTAAAAATAAATGTGAGTACGTTTCCACGGAAACTGTGTGGACACTCACATACAACAAGGAGGTGGAGGCCATGGATGTTGCTGAGAGATAATGCTTGTGAGTGACTTTTATTTTATAATTTCTATGTTTTATGAATATTTGGAACCAGAAAGCTGAAATCAGGAAAAACAATAGAGACATTTTCATTTTCTAAAAACATACCAAATTTTCCCCATATAAGTTCCAGACATAGAAATGTAGCAGGTCCTTTGAAAGCAGGCAGAGCTAAAAGGAAGCAGGAGTAATGGAGCAAAGTTCATCACCTGGCAAAAACCTCCCTCCCTTTCACCCCAACCCCAACATCCCAAGAATATGTTGCCAACCACTCCTTCAGAAACTTCCCTGGATTTAACCCCTTTCTCTTACAGAAAAGGGGTTAGTCAGGTGACTAGGTGAGGATAGGAACCTCTAGACTGAGTCTCCCTACTTGACCCACAAACTGGCTTTTCCTTCCAGCAGATTCAGATGACTATTTTGGACAACCAATGGAAGTTTTGCCTTTTGTAAGGTAAACCTTGAAGAAAACACAAACTGGAATATGATTCAGACCATGCGTGGCGTTGACACCGAAATTACAGTCCTGTGTTGCTACTTGGTGAGGGTTTGGATCTAATTACAAGGTATTCCCCAAACAACACCTCTCTGAGTGTCACGTGCATGTCTGAAAAATAACTTCTACAGATTTCCGGCCAAAAACATTCCCTGTATGAAAACCTGAACCCTAGTTTGTTTATGCACTCCTGTGCAAGATTTCTAAGAATCTTTCTGTGAATCAAAAACTTCCCTGGAGCCTCACATGGTGGCATCCTTGTAATCCCCACACTTCAGAAATAAGGGCAGGGGGTAACATGAGTCCCAGACCTGCCTGAGCTACAGAGACCTTGCCTCAAAAACAAGCACATTCACTCAAACAAGGCCGTGTGGAGTCCCCTCCTCCCCAAGGATGCTGGGCTAGCTAAGGTAGCATCCAGCTGCTACTGCGTATTCCTCCAGGCGACCTCGGGGAAGCCACCTGCCACACGCTAAGTGTGCAGGTGGGGTGACACAGTCTCTTGAGTTATTTGTTCCAGAACACAGAAAATGGCACAGTTATGACCATGTTGCCTCCTGCAGTACCTCACACCTGACCTTGAGTCACACTCCTGAAGGGTGCACCTGTGTACACTAGCATGCTCCTCCTCTCTGATCCTTCTCTTCTCCATCAAGTCAACCTTGCCCTTTCTGGCTCCAGCCACGAGAGGAGAGCCCAAATCTCTTCAGGATACTGGCCTCAGTGACTGACGCTGAAGGTTGGAAGAAAGCATTGCTGATTGGGCTACATCAAGCCACCCAGAGCTGAAGGAAGCTGAGTGTGTGCCAGCATCAAGGCCAGCTAGCCAATGGAGACCCAACATCCCTTCCCTTCCTCCCCTTCAACAACACAAACAGGCTCTATGGAAAACTGCTCAGATGATTCCCTTCTCATGGACCTGTCTCCAGCCCACCAGACAGGACCAGTCAAGTCTGCATCTTGGAAAAGACTCAAGCAGGATCATGGCTGTATGCAGTATCTCCTACACCGCAAAGCAGAAATTTGTTTGTGGAAAGTCAGACCAGCCTGCACAGTATGATCAAAAGTCTGGCTTCTGACTGTTGTAGAATGTTCTACCATTTCAGGTCAAGTTTACAGTGGAGAAGTGTTAGAGTCCTCACTTAGTGTGTGTGAATGCCTGGGCTCCATTCCTAGCATACCCTGACACACACACACACACACACACACACACACACACACACACACAGAGAGAGAGAGAGAGAGAGAGAGAGAGAGAGAGAGAGAGAGAGAGAGAGAGAGAGAGAGCTCATGGACATGGATCAAGTAGTGAACTGAGTTAGACCACAGACGCCAAGGACGATATCGGCTAAGCTCAGAGATATCCATCCTCTGATGTCTACAAACAGTAGTGAATTCCTTTGTTTCCTGGCTGCCTTTGGATCTCTTGTCTCACCCCTAAAGGACAGCTATCTGACTTGGAAAACAGGCTAAGGTTGTAGTTCAGTGCTGTGGGATGGTCTGTATGTCAAATGTGTTGCTGATTGGTCAATAAATAAAACACTGATTGGCCAGTGACCAGGCAGGAAGTAGGTGGGACAAGGAGAGAGGAGAATTCTGGGAAGTGGAAGGCTGAGTCGGAGAGACACTGCCAGCCACCACGATGAGAAACAGCATGTGAAGATGCCAGTAAGCCAAGAGCCATGTGGCAAGGTATAGATTTATAGAAATGGATTAATTTAAGCTGTAAGAACAGTTAGCAAGAAGCCTGCCACAGCCATATAGTTTGTAACCAATATAAGTCTCTGTGTTTACTTGGTCGGGTCTGAGCGGCTGTGGGACTGGCAGGTGAGAGAGATTTGTCCTGACTGTGGGCCAGGCAGGAAAACTCAAGCTACAGTTCAGTGGTAGACTCTTGCCAAATGCGTGCTAGAGGCCCGGGTTCCAAATAAATGCAAACCCCAAACAGCAGCAATCACAACACCAAGCCCAGGAGATGGTATTGTCCTTCCTGTCTGGATTTGTCAGTTCTGCAGAAGCAGACCAAATCCCTGTTTAGACACAATTTAAAGTTAGCAACACTTTCAGCTTTATTTTATTTGAATCCAAATGTTTTCTGTGACTCTTGTGAGTTCAACAAAAACACTGAACACTTTCCTAACCAACTTTAGCTCTAAATCCTGAGGTCATTTTGATGACATGCAATTGGGCCCATGTAAGTATATTCAGAGCTCTCTGGTCATGAGGGATAATCTACAAAGATACACAAAATTTGTCATCTTCAAATTTGACAATGCCACAGAAACACAACTGGTCTAAGAGAAGATCAATGTTTATTGCCTCACCACTATTTGATATTTAATTTAAATGCCACAGGTTTATTGCCTGAATACCCATGCTATCTCAAGGTTATTGGTTAGTTTGGTTTTCACCATGACTGGCAGCCCAAACACAGGGAGAAGCATCATTGCACATTGAGGTGCTAGGCCCCTGATATCAGGCCCCCCTGGCCTGAGGCCAGGAAGAAGAGGGCTCAGACCAGGTGCGTGCTATCCCTAGACAGCTGCTCTATCTGTGTCTGCTTCCTGACTGCAGTCCTGATGAAGTTGCCAGCACATTCATCCGTGAGTAAAGATCAACTGAGACCACTCAATATAAGATCGAGCCAAACAGTTAGAAAAACATTACCCTAATGTGCTAAAAAATAGATGTAAAATATGTAAAGAGAGCCGGGCGGTGGTGGCGCACGCCTTTAATCCCAGCACTCGGGAGGCAGAGCCAGGAGGATCTCTGTGAGTTCGAGGCCAGCCTGGTCTCCAAAGCGAGTTCCAGGAAAGGCGCAAAGCTACACAGAGAAACCCTGTCTCGAAAAACCAAAAAAAAAAAAAAAAAAAAAAAAAAAAAAAAAAAAAAAAAATATGTAAAGAGAAAAAAATGTAAAGTGTGGTGGTTTGAATAGGTATGGCCCCTTTAGAGTCATGTATTTGAGTGCTTGGCCCATTGGGAGTGACACTATTAGGAGGTGTGGCCTTTTTCGAGTAGGTATGGAGGAAGTATGTCCCTGTAGGGGCAGGCTTTGAGGTCTCATATGCTCCAGCCATGCCCAGTATGGTACTCAGTTTACATTCTGTTGCCTGAGGATCAAGATATAGAACTCTCAGCTCCTTCTTGTGTACCATGTCTGCCTGCACATTGCCATGTCCCACCATGATGATAATGTACTAAACCTCTAAAACTATAAGCCAGCCCCAATTAAATATTTTCCTTTATAAGAGTTGCCATGGCCATGGTGTCTCTTCATAGCAACAGAAACCTAAGACATAAAGAAAAAAACAAAACAAAAACACATTTTACCTTAATTATGTTTTACTTTGCATCTTGCCTTTCAAGGGGCAGGCAACATGGCTCAATGGCTCAAGATGCTTAATGCCAAGCCTAGCAACCCAACTTCAGTTCCCTGGACCCACACAGGGTAGAACTGTAGGGAAAAGGGGCCAGCCAAAGAAACCCTGCTGTGGGATGGTCTGTATGTCAAGTGTGTCACTGATTGGTCAATAAATAAATCACTGATTGGCCAGTGGCCAGGCAGGAAGTATAGGCGGGACAAGGAGGAGAATAAAGCTGGGAAGTGGAAGGCTGAGTCAGAGAGACACTGCCAGCCGCCACGATGACAAACAGCATGTGAAGATGCCGGTAAGCCACGAGCCATGTGGCAAGGTATAGATTTATAGAAATGGATTAATTTAAGCTGTAAGAAAAGTTAGCAAGAAGCCTGCCACGGCCATACAGTTTGTAAGCAATATAAGTCTCTGTGTTTACTTGGTCGGGTCTGAGCAGCTGTGGGGCTGGCAGGTGAGAGAGATTTGTCCTGACTGTGGGCCAGGCAGGAAAACTCTAGCTACAAAACCCACCAGAGCTAGTGAAAGAAACACACCCTGACCCTGGGACCTGATCCAATGAAAGAAACACTTTAGCCTGGAACACAGAACCAAAGAAATACACCCTGACCCTGAAACCAGAGCCAAAGAAACACACTTTGTCCCTAGAATCAGAGTCAATGAAAGAAATGTGCCCTGGCCCTAAAACTAAAGCCAAAAATCTAAAAATAAAAAGGGCCAGTGAAAGAAACACAGTTTGGCCCCGAAATCAGAGCCAACTCTGCCCCTGACCAATAAAACTAACCAATCCCTGAGCAGGAAAGCTAACCAATCCCTTAGCAGAAAATCTTCTCCCTGGAGGAACTCCACCCCTAAGAAACCCTATACAAGCCCCTCTGCCTGTCCAGTTGTTGGCTGTGCTTTCCCACGCTGGCAGAGGCAGCCACTCTCCTGGATTCCTCCTTCTCAAATAAGTATCTTTCTCAAAAGAGTCTTGGGTGAAGGTGTTCATCTGCTGGCAGAACAGAAGAACAGAAGAACCTTGCTGAGACGTTCTCTTAGGGGGGCTGAGCAGAAAAAAACCTTGCTGAGACGTTCTCTTAGGGGGGCTGAGCAAGGCAGAGCAGAAAAACGTAACAACTTTTTGCTAGAGCAGGAGGAGATTGCTACATTTCTGCAGGGGTTTCCTCTTTAGCAGAGTGAAGCAGAAGAAACAACATCTTGGTCAGAACTCTGCTGGGAAGCCCCGTTAAGTGGGAGTGGGAAGTAGAGCAAAGCTCAGCTGTAACAGCTCTCTCTAGGAGAGGAGCAGGATTGCTATATCCTGTGGGGAGACCATCCCCCGCTGCACCCCAGCTTCAGGTATAGCCTGACTTCCTGACAAGTCAGGATACCTCTCCCTTCAGAGCTGTAACACTCCCAAGAACGAGAGAACCAGCTCATGAAAATTTGGTCCCCTCCTTCAACCATTCTGGGCTGGGACTGCAAGTGTGCACTGCAAAGTCATCCCTGCATTTGATTTTTAGCTGACATTGCTTGGCGAACAACAAACACAGGCTTATTTGCTCTACCCAAAGACAGACTCTAAACGGAGCTTGCCGTCATTAGCCTCCTCCTCAGGTACGCTTCAACCAGGGCAACCAAGAGGAGTGCTAGTCAGCAGCTTACCCAGCCACATTTGTCAAAAATGACCATCTCTTCAGCCCATATTAATTATATACTATAATGGGTTTCATCATGACATTTCATATATATCTGGTTTTTATTTTTTAATGTATATCTGGTTTTTATTTTTAATGTATATCTGGTTTTTATTTTTTAATTTAATTTAAATTTTGAATTTTCAGATAGGGTTTTACCATGTGATCCTGACTGGCCGGGAACTCACTATGTCGACCTGACTGGTCTTGAACTCACAGAGATCCACCTGCCTCTGCTTCCTGAGTAGCCATAATGTGTTTCAGTATTCATACACACACTTTACCTTCTCTTGCCCCTGTCCTCCTACTCCTAATAATCCCTTCTCTTCTTCCCAACTTGTCCTTCTACTTTCCTGTCATTTATTTATCTATTTACTTATTTTTGTTTACTTTGTGGCACAATGACTTTATTGAGCTTGTTTATGGAAATATGGGCTTCATACCAGTGGCTACCCAAAGAAAATATCTGCCCCCCACTAATGTTAAGTGTCTATAAATCCTCCAGAAGGGGTGGAGCCCATGACCCCTCCCCTTGAAGATCTTGTGCAGGTAACCAAAGCTGCCTCACATTCAAGGGTGTAGCAGCAAGCTGGGCGGTGGTGGCGCACGCCTTTAATCCCAGCACTCGGGAGCAGAGGCAGGCAGATCTCTGTGAGTTCGAGGCCAGCCTGGTCTACAGAGTTCCAGGAAAGTCGCAAAGCTACACAGAGAAACCCTGTCTCCAAAAACCAAAAATAAATAAATAAATAAATAAAAAGTAAAAATAAACCACACCTGGAGCATCTCTTCTGGGGAGCCTTCCCTCTTTCCTGGAAGTCACTGGCTATTCTTGAGGTGCCACATTGTTCCAATTCTCCTCATGTCCCCAAGGGCACAAAAGCTCCTAAATCTCACTGAATTTTGAATGAACTACTTTTCTTCCTGTGATGTCTCCACAGATAGACTGTATTTGTATAACTGTTCTCTTTTTGTCTGTTGTCAGTTTACTTCATAAACTCAGTTATGAAACCCTCAGAGGGCAGAGGGACCCTCCTCTCTCCTGCAGGGAATAACCAAGAACAGTTTCCCTCAATTCCATTTCTCTCATAACCATACTATATTCCATACATATACACAACAGCCATTTGCCAATTTAAAACAAAATAATACTATTTAAAAGTGTTGCCCAGTTGGATGTCCCTAGTTCCCTGAATTTTCCTGTACGTTACTTGGGAGGATGCTGGGAGAAATCCCTTTGACAGTTTCTCCATTACCGTACAGACACTCGCAATGATGGAACCAACACTTGACCCTAGGTTGCACACGGGCCTGAAATTGCAGCAGCCAAAGGCTTTCATGAAGAATCTACACTCAGAATAAGTGTGGATAATAATGGAAACCAGACTATAGCAATTCCATTTGGGGAGGTTAATTCAGTCTGGTTCTAATTTGAAATCAATCAGGACAGGTTCCAGAATGATGGCATTAAGCAGGATGGGGCAAGGCAAGGAAGACAGAAGTAGCAAGCCCATTGGACAGACAAGTGGCTGCTGGGGCACTGAACACGGAGCATCCTGTTTAATTGCCCAAAAAACACATCTCTGTTTGGGACAAAGCCTTGGTTTTATTTGGACGACGTGCCAACACTGTCCCATAACCTCCCATTGCTAGAGCTTTAAATCCATATATTGCCTTCCTTCTTCCCTCCCTCTGGAATTAAAATAGTGCAGAGTTGTAGATAATTTAAGGATGTGTGTCAGTTAGCTCCTAACACTGCAACAAAAGCCTAGCCTGAGGCTAGGTTTCTTTTTCTTCCTGGCTTCCACACATTGCTGAAGTTTTGATCTGTTATCAGTCGTGCTGCAGACACTAGTGGGGAAGCAGATGAGGAAGGTGCCCACCTCAACAAAACAAGGAGAGAGGTCCTAGTCCCAACACTGCTTCAAGGACATGCCCCCAATGACCTAATTCCTCCTTCTGGTTTCAGCTTCTAAGGTTAGAAGGTGCTCTAGGTTGGTGACCAAGAAGTCAATACCAACATGAACCTTTGCAAGACATTAATTCTGAACCACAGCAAATTAAATATTGAGGTCATAAGTAACTCAATTATTTTATTTAAATATATACATATAACATATATATGTTATATATATATATATATATATATATATATACATACAGAAAGAAGATGAGTAAATAGATGAATAGATGAGTGAATGGATACATGAATGAATGGATGGACAGATAGACAGATATCAATTGGGACCTCAAATTGGGCTACCACAACCATAAGAAAAAAACCAGGTCTGGAGACATAGCTTAGTAGTAGAGTATGTGCAATAGCATAAATTAACCTTCCTCCTTAGGAATAATAATTATCTCAGGTATTTATGAGAAAGAATGGCTATTATAACTGTACAGAAGTTCATTAAAATTTAGGGTCATTGAATCTGGCTAATCTCAGTGTGCATTTTTTTAATTTGCAAGTTCTTTATAATAAAGTTTTAATTCTTTAAAGAGAGTGGGAGGAAAAAGAGACAGAGGGAGGGGAAGGGGGATGTTGGTTGTGGTTGCCCAAACCTTGAATCTCAAGCCTGGAGGGAGGCAGAAATAGACAGATGTCCACAAACTGGATGCTAACCTTGTCTGCCTGTTACCATCCTCCCCATCAT